TGCATGTCCCTGTGTGTCTGTGTTCATGAGTGGTAGCAGTGGAGGTTGTGCATATCTCTGTGTGTCTGTGTTCATGAGTGGTAATGGTAGAGACCGTGCATATCTCTGTGCATCTATGTTCATGAGTGGTAGCAGTGGAGGTTGTGCATGTCTCTGTGCATCTGTGTACGTGACTGGTAGTGGAGGCTGTGCATGTCCCTGTGCATCTGTGTACATGAGTGGTAGTGCAGGAGGCTGTGCATGTGCATGTCCCTGTGTCTGAGTACATGAGTGGCAGCAGTAGAAGCCATGTATCCCTGTGCATCTGTGTACGTGAGTGGTAGTAGTGGAGGGCAAATGAGGTTGCTAGGCCCAGTTCTTGAAAATCCCAGCTCTATGTTTTACCTTGGGCTGGGGGCTCCTATACATATTCTATTTAGAACAGCAATGTTCTGCAGAGCTCAGGCATGAGTCCATTCTCAGAAGAGACAAACCAGGGCCCATACTGCCAAATGCTCAGCTCTTGTGTACCTTTCTCTGGATATCAGATCCATCCTGAAATCCTCATGTGCATGCCCAGTAACACTACTGAACTCAGTGTTCTTTGCTGAACCCAGCATCCTCCCCTGACAAACATGATCTTTATATGCCCATCAAAGTGTCACCTCTTAAGACCTGCTAGCCTCAAATCCCCAGACAAAACCAACCCTTAAATTACTTTGAGTCTACTTTTATCTGCCTACTTTCTGCCATCTCTACTGCCAGCAACTCAACACAAGCTGCCATTTCTCATCTTAATAACAGGACTCTTTTGAACTGGCCTGTCCCGTGACTGCCTCTCTTCAATATACTTTCTACATTGCTACCTAAATAAGTCTTAAGTTAAAAATCCAGTCTTTTCATTCTTTGTCTATGCTTCAATGGCTTGCTAAGTTTCTTGGGGAAAGTTGTTAATTTCAAGGCTCTAATTATTTTTCTACCAGAGCTATTGTTATTGTGAAAATACAGGGTTCACAGCCTGCATTAACAAAAGAAAGAAAAGGAAAATAACAAGAAAATAATCCACCTCACAGTAATGTACAGGTAGTTACATATTGTTTGATAAATAGGATGCAAAGAAAACAATGTATCCCTTTATGTCCAAAGTGGTCTACTACTCTGGTCTCACAAAACTCCATACCTGCTTTCATCTTCCACTCCCTAGAATCTACTCTTCCACATCTGTGGTGTCATGGGCTTCTGCTTGCCTGAAAAAAAAAAAAAAAAAAAAAAGCCCAAACCCCAGAACTCCAACATACTCAGACCAAAATGTTATTTTGCTGTTTTTCAAGCTTCAGTTTTAACAAAAAGCCCTCTCCAAAATCCTTTTCAAAAAAATCTCTTCATCTGCTGGGTACTGGTGGCTCATGCCTGTAATGGTAGCTATTCAGGAGGCTGAGATCTAAGGATCTCAGTTCAAAGCCTAGCTCTTACCTCCAATTTAACTACCGGAAAACCCAAAGTAGAGCTGTGGCTCAAAGTGGCAGAGTGCTAGCCTTGAGCAAAAATGCTCAGGGACAGCACCGAGGCCCTGAGTTCAAGCCCCACAACTGACAAAAAGAAAAAAAATCAATTAGTGGCAGTCTTTATTCCCTTTATCCTGTTTTAACACTGCATTCTGGATACAGACCCAAACATCCAATGTCTCTGTAAAGTGGGTACCTAGCTATCTTACAATGCATAAGATACTATTCCCCATAAATTATTTGCTGAAAGAATGCTATCTATCATTGGAATTCATTTTGTAAACACCAAGATTATTTCTAAAGTAAAATCTATGGAAATGGATTGAGACATAAGCCTACTAAGCTAAAAAGGAGTCAAGGGAAGAGATAAGAGAATAAGACAAAGAAAATTTTTCCTATTTAATGATGGATAGATTCATGTCAGACAGCCAAATGATGTGACTCAATCAAAAGCAAAAATAAAGTATGTTTACAAAGGTGACATCAGATTTGGGAAAAATAAGTCCATAAAGGAAAACCTTCTGTGCTGAAACCAAATTACCAAAACTCCCTCAAAACAAGGCAAGATAACACCATAATGTGTTAAGATGAGACATGAGCCAGGAAGGGGTGGCTCACAGTGGTCATCTAGCTGCTACTCAGGGGTGAGATTTAGAGGATCAGAGTAGAAGCCATCTAAGACAAAGCACATGAGACCCCCTTCAACTAACAGCTAAGTATGGTGGCACATACCAGCCATCCAAAGGTCATAAGATTCTGAGATCGGGAGAACGTCAGTTCCAGAGGAGCCCAGGTGAAAAAAAATTCAGGACTCCACTTCAAAGGGAAAAGGTAGGCCTGGAGGTGCCCTCTCCATGGCAGCTATAATAGGAAGTCTAAGGAAGGTGGACTGTGCACACCCTTGTAGGATGCTAGACCCTATCTCAAAAATAAGTAATGCAAAAAATATGGCAGCTCAGAGGCACAGTACCTTGCCAAACCAGCAAAAGGCCCTAAGTTCAAATGTCACTTCCAATAAAAATAACAGCTGGGAACCAGTGTTCCATAATCATAGTTACTCAGGAGGCTGAGATCTGAGGATAGTGGTTTGAAGTCAGTCCAGGCAGAAAAATACATAAGGCTCTTATCTCCAATAAACTACTCAGAAAAAGCTAAAAGTGGCACTGTGGTTCAAGTGATAGAGCACTAGCCTTGGGCACAAAGAAGCTCAGGGATAGTGCCCAGACCCTGAGTTCAAGCCCCAGGACAAGCAAAATAAATAATAGATAATAAGTAAACAGGTAAAGTGATAAAAAGAAATGACCTAGTTCCAAATCTCAAGTACTGAGGTCAGGAATCAATCAAATGATCTAATTTCTCCTTTTAAAAGATTACAATGTATGTAGCTCTATATAAATGACAGAGAAAATGGAATGAATGCAGGAGTGGAAGTTAAAAACTAGTCAGAAAGGCTGTTAAACACAAAACAACACTAGCTTGTTCTGTGAAAATTTCTGCAGAGATAAATGTTTGGATTTGGGAAGTATTCAGAAAGCCGAACAGATTTACTTAAATGAAAAAGCAGTC